TTATGTCAATTTGTTCGTCTTCGCATGTAGATCGAAGAGTTTCTACGACCTTAAACAAAACCTATGGTTGTCTACTATCACAAAATTAAGAAATTATAATCAGAAAGTCACTGCTCATTTTCACAAGTCAGTATTATTTTGTTAACGTTTCGAAAAAACGAAATCGTGAAAATTTGTTGTAGATTAGCTCGATACATTGATTGAAATGCAAACATATACCAATCAGTGGCTGAATAACAAATTTCCTTGACATATTATTTGAGTCTTCTGTTCATTACATCTAACTTTATGTTAAGTAAATAAAATGACAAGATATTCAGTATGCAATTTTATGGAAAGAGTTCAGGTGAATACTGTTAGTAGTACATTTTGTTATCAACACTTCATGCATTGATGTATTCAGCATTCAACTGAGTCACAGTTACAACTTGAAACTAGAGAATGGTCAATGAAGTGAACAGAAAATGAGAGTCATGCAGACCTTGAATCACTGACTTGTGGTTTACTGACTCTGTACTCTATCCACCAGATTACAGCAGGTTTCAAAGTATAAATAAGCTTTAAAATACTCCTTTTTGTGAATCCTTCCGTTGTACTTAGATCCAAAACAGAAAAACAAAAAGTTTCACAACCACTAATGACTACGAAGTTAGCCGATAAGTAAGTTAAGCGTAGCGACTTCAGTATCTTCGGGAGAAAGTGGACACAGTCCCTAATGATAGAACTACCAAAGAAGATACGCAGAAGCGTTATCTGACAGCCGTTCGTGGTGATTGGTGATTGATGCTCATTGTTGTTGTTGGTGGCGTTGGGTTAGGTATCTCCATCACCTCCCTCTTCTCTACATTCACTTGCAGTCCTGTTGTTTCCGCTGCCCTGCAACTTATGTCAACTTGTTCGTTTTCGCCTGCAGATCTTGGAGTTTGTACCACAAAACATTAGACATAAATCATCACCGGCGAAATCCAAACCTCCTCTCGGCTCTTTTCATCGCTCCAGCCAGTGTATGCCAATCTTCCTAATCCTCACAGCTTGCTGCATTATCCAGTTCAGTGCGCCACAATCAGGAAGATCATGGGTGATAGTAGGTGTCAGCCTTGTCTGACTCCTGTCTCCACTTCACTTCAAAGGCATCACTGAGCCTTTCATTGTGGATCACGTGGCATATGGCGTCCTCATATAGCTAGCTGTTGAATCAGGTTGATAAAGATTTTTGGCACTGAAACCGTAGTGTTGAAGCAGCTGCCTGCCAAATCACTTCTCGGTAGATGCTGTCGAAGGCCTTTTCAAAGTCGATGAAGTTGAGGCTGAGTTGAGTTGACTACCATTCAATACTGTGTTTTATGATGATGCGTGGCGTAGCTTTGCTGCTTCATCCGCACATGATTTGTTCCTACTGAACACTGCCAGCCAGCCAGCCTGTTCCGGTGGTAGCTTTGAATTCAGAGCATCCTTTAGTCTCTCCAGGATGATGTGGCATAATATTTTGCTTGGGGTGGATAGGAGTGGAGGATGACTCCTCGCCAGTTCTTCTAAGCACTCAGTTCTCCCTTCTTTGTGAGCTTGACAAGGTAGCTCTTCTTCCAACCAACAGGCAGGAACCTTTCCTTCCTTCCCTCCCTCCCTTCTCCCAAACCTTCTGCAGTATTGATGTGAGCATGTCTGCTGTTGTCTGTGTGTGTTTTCAGTGCTTCTGTTGGAAATCCATGTGGTGCTGCTGGTTTCTTGGGTCTCAGCAGTCTTATGGCATTGAGGACTTCTGCTTTTGCCATAGGGCCCCTGTACGGACTGAAATTACCATTTATGTTCTAGTGGTAGTGTAACGGCACTTGTTATTCTTGTTGCTTATCGTCAAGTACGAACCAACTTAGTTGCTTCATAGCTGCAATAATACACAACACTCAGGCAGTCTTAACTAAGCAATAGGAATCTTTCACACGCTCCCACAGACATCCTTATGCTGAGTAGGGCTTTTGGACGCTGTCCAGCAAGGAAGCTTTCCTATATTCTGAATCTGGAAGAAGAGAATAAGTAAATAAGTGGTATACTCTACGAGATGTTTCACTTCTCAGAAGTATGTGCAGATGGAACACCAAAAAAGAAACACACACATACACACAAAATTCCTCTCTTCCTCCCCACTATTTTGTAAAATTAATCTCCCCTACTGACAGGTCATGGAAGATCGGTTCGGATGAAATATTTGTAGATTAAGTCTGTAACTCACTAACTGAAATAATATACGCTGATAATTTCATTTCTTTAGAAGGTATGTTCACTAACTGAACAGAAGACAAATAACATTGCGTCACCGAACAAAACCTCTGTGACACATCACCTCGGTGAAATTTTGTTCGAGAGAATGAAGCAGACTTGATTTGATTTTTGTTTTTACAATTGATTAACAGTTAATAGTTAGTGAAGAGTGAATCAGCTAATTTTATCACTACAACGTTTATCTATCAACTTAATTTTCATCGAAGAAACAGTTATGTATGGTTCACAGTTAGGAAGCATGTTAATGAACTCTTATACTTATGACTTGGAACAGAAAAGATGAAATCCTCTTGAAGTTCACTTTCATATCATCTGATTAATGTATATAAATGACGGATAAACAAAAAAAATGAAACATTCAAAGCGATTTACTGACATTCTATTGATTTATTCGCATGAATTTTGAATATTTCTGTTACAATCATAAGGTTTGTATACAGAAGAAAAGTATGTATTACTTTTTCTGGACTTGGTTATGGAAGATTTGACCAATCATCTTATTCCCATAAGTTTCAAGATCTTCTTTTCTTGTTTATTGTAACTGTTCTACATCCATATTACATTTGCATACGGACAGTTTTCTTCATCATTGAGGGTTGTGAGAAATGAATGGTTGTTTAAGTTAACTATAATAACAGTAATCATAATAATAATAATAATAATAGCCTTCAAGTTGTTATTCATCGTAGACTGACATCAGTTGGAGGAATAAAGGAAACCTGGGAGCACTGGATAGCTGTTTCGTCCTAGCATGGGACTCCTCAGCAGTGCGCACCCACGACCCCGCCAGGGATCGAAACCGTGACCCATACTAGGACGAAACAGCTGTTCAGTGCTTCCAGGTTTCCTTTGTTCCTCCAATTGATGTCAGTCTACGATGAATAACTACTTGAAATATTTCCAAATCTCCACAACTCCCTGAAAATAATAGCTTTATTGCAAATAATCTATTTCCTATTATATAGAGTTCTCAATATGTAGTTGAGAGTAAAATGATTCTTGCATCTAAGTGATGTTTATAAAATTAACAGAATTAAAGATAGAAATGTAAAGTAACCAGTTGTTGTTGCTGTTGGATATAAACGTTCAATGTTTGATAATGATGGTTCATCCAGCCAATACAAGAATATACTATTCGAGATAAGTTTCCAAGGAATAGAAATATGATAATTATTTTTATGCATTGAAGTGTTTATTTTCCTTTTAATATAATATTTTTCCTTCATTTTATTATCAATTCAAAAACCTTCAAGTTCGGAATGTTTTTAAAAATCCATTAGAGTATATGATATGTTTGAAGGACAATATTTGAAAGATTAATACAAACTGAAAGGAAAGAGAATTCGATATATATCCGGTAGCTCAAAGTTTAAGCAGGCCGCCAATTCTTAACTGGATTGAACTCCTAGACTATCTGTTTGCATGATTCTTATCATCATTGATTTCCTTGATCATTATCATTTGAATCACTATTACTAACATTACTACTAGTTAAACAGTTTGCATTCCGGTTATTTTCCAACTTGGTATTCATCATGAACTGGCATCATTTGGAGGAACATTGGAAACCTGGGATCACTGGACAGCAGTTTCGTCCTAGTGTGAAACTCTTCAGCGGTATACACGTATGATCTCAAACTTCGGCGATCGAACCCAGGACCTTTGGATTCCGTGGTTAGCATGTCATCGCTAATCTAGTGCTCATTAGTGACTAGCTTCGAGAGATGATTCCTGAAGTTACATTGAGAAGTCGTGACAGATGGGCAAATCTGATGGCTGTAAGGAAAAATACCTAACAATGATATTGGGTTGTGGTCGCGCCATGTCGTTAGCTGACAGAAGTTGGAAATATGAACCATTGGTTCCTCACTTAATGTCCCGATGGTAGCGTGCTGGCCACACAACCTGAAGGTCGCGTGTTCGATTCCTGCCGGGGTCATGCGTGCCTGGTGCTGAAGAGTTTTATACTAGGACCAGATAGCTGTCCAGTGCTCCCAGATTTTCAATCTTCCTCCAGCTGATATCAGTCCATGGTGAATACCAACTTGGGAAATGTCTGTAGATGGTTTTCGTAATGCACTCACATCAGGTGAAGAATCATTGAAAAACTGACAACAGTAGACAGATGTTGTTGGCTAGATTGCGCTTATTCAGCTGTGTGAACTTATAACACCGTGACAGATTCAGCTCAGGACCCTTAGGTATCAAGGCGAGCAGGTTAACATTCAGCTGCTATGCTCAAATCGAATGGTCTACACCATCGAAAACCATCGCATCCAACTTGTTTGACCTTACGTGTCATAACTTTCGATTAGAGCTTCAAGAAATCAATCTCAAAGTGAGTTAAAAAGGAATAGTATATGTTGTATAGTTAAATATGGAGCTGTTTGTATCAACTCAGTGATTGACCAGGGAAAAACGTGGCTATAATACCTAACAGTTGTAAAAACTAAATCCCTAGTAAGATAATTGGTGTGAACTATCGACAATGAATCTGGCTAGAATGAAATGTCTCTCCCCAGTGCTTCCACTATTTCAATAATTTTTCAATCGATGTTAATCTCCGAGGAAGATTGCTTTCAAGGTTATCAATATCTAAAATCACAAAATGAGTTCTATTATGATCATTGCTGTTGATTTGTCACCAACATTATTATCAATTTATATAACTTACCGATATTTGTATTATATATATATTTTTACTTAATTAATTTATAAACTAGGTTGAAGGACAACCGAATGCATATGCAGACGCATTAGATTACTTGAATATGATATTTACTGGTGTATTCACTGTCGAATTTGTACTCAAGTTAACAGCTTTCGGATTCAAGGTTAGTTAATTAGTTAGTTAATATTATAAGAAATTCAATCTAATGGAAAAGAAATTTCTGCATATTAGATTTGGAAATGCAAATGCAATTATTATGTGTTTCTTATTATGAAATATATGACCCATTCAGTAACCATTAAGGTTTTCAATTGATACACATATAGAGGATACAAGATAAGAAAAACAGAATCTGATCACTATTCACTTAGTTTACACTATCCTTATGGATCTTGATGAACACATGGAAGCTGATAGAGCAGGGAGAGAAAGATGGTGGAGCAGAAGATGAACCAGTGCAGTGCATGGATGAACAACAAAAAGAAGGACTGAATATAACCTATAAAACACTACACTGGACAAAAAACGTGCAGAGGAGTGCACACAACGACAAAAGACACTTCTACGACCCATTGGCAAGTGAAGCAGAACAGGCTGCAGGTAGAAGAGACCTGACAACATTATATCAAATAACCAGCTTACTATCTAGGAAGAGATCTAGGCAGACGAAACCAATTAAAGATGGTAACGCAAAGCTAATTACCACAGCGGAGAAACAAGGGAAACAATGGGCTGACCACTTCAAAAAACTCTTGAATGGACCACCACCTGCAACTTGTCCAGGAATACCACCAGCAACGGCAGAACTACCACTGGGCAGAGGCCCTATGGCAAAAGCAGAAGTCCTCAATGCCATAAGACTGCTGAGACCCAAGAAACCAGCAGCACCACATGGATTTCCAACAGAAGCACTGAAAACACACACAGACAACAGCAGACATGCTCACATCACTACTGCAGAAGGTTTGGGAGAAGGGAGGGAGGGAAGGAAGGAAAGGCACATACCTATTGGTTGGAAGAAGAGCTACCTTGTCAAGCTCACAAAGAAGGGAGAACTGAGTGCTTAGAAGAACTGGCGAGGAGTCATGCTCCACTCCTACCCACTCCGAGCAAAATATTATGTCACATCATCCTGGAGAGACTAAAGGATGCTCTGAATTCAAAGCTACCACCGGAACAGGCTGGCTGGCTGGCTGGCTGGCTGGCTGGCTGGCTGGCTGGCTGGCTGGCTGGCTGGCTGGCTGGCTGGCAGTGTTCAGTAGGAACAAATCATGTGCGGATGAAGCAGCAAAGCTACACCACGCATCATCATAAAACACAGTATTGAATGGTAGTCAACTCAACTCAGCCTCAACTTCATCGACTTTGAAAAGGCCTTCGACAGCATCTACCGAGAAGTGATTTGGCAGGCAGCTGCTTCAACACTATGGTTTCAGTGCCGAAAATCTTTATCAACCTGATTCAACAGCTAGCTATGTGAGGACGCCATATGCCACGTGATCCACAATGGAAGGCTCAGTGATGCCTTTGAAGTGAAATGGAGACAGGAGTCAGACAAGGCTGACACCTACTATCACCCATGATCTTCCTGATTGTGGCGCACTGAACTGGATAATGCAGCAAGCTGTGAGGATTAGGAAGATTGGCATACACTGGCTGGAGCGATGAAAAGAGCCGAGAGGAGGTTTGGATTTCGCCGGTGATGATTTATGTCTAATGTTTTGTGGTACAAACTCCAAGATCTGCAGGCGAAAACGAACAAGTTGACATAAGTTGCAGGGCAGCGGAAACAACAGGACTGCAAGTGAATGTAGAGAAGAGGGAGGTGATGGAGATACCTAACCCAACGCCACCAACAACAACAATGAGCATCAATCACCAATCACCATGAACGGCTGTCAGATAACGCTTCTGCGCATCTTCTTTGGTAGTTCTAGCATTAGGGACTGTGTCCACTTTCTCCCGAAGATACTGAAGTCGCTACGCTTAACTTACTTATCGGCTAACTTCGTAGTCATTAGTGGTTGTGACATTTTTTGTTTTTCTGTTTTGGATCTAAGTACAACGGAAGGATTCACAAAAAGGAGTATTTTAAAGCTTATTTATACTTTGAAACCTGCTGTAATCTGGTGGATAGAGTACAGAGTCAGTAAACCACAAGTCAGTGATTCAAGGTCTGCATGACTCTCATTTTCTGTTCACTTCATTGACCATTCTCTAGTTTCAAGTTGTAACTGTGACTCAGTTGAATGCTGAATACATCAATGCATGAAGTGTTGATAACAAAATGTACTACTAACAGTATTCACCTGAACTCTTTCCATAAAATTGCATACTGAATATCTTGTCATTTTATTTACTTAACATAAAGTTAGATGTAATGAACAGAAGACTCAAATAATATGTCAAGGAAATTTGTTATTCAGCCACTGATTGGTATATGTTTGCATTTCAATCAATGTATCGAGCTAATCTACAACAAATTTTCACGATTTCGTTTTTTCGAAACGTTAACAAAATAATACTGACTTGTGAAAATGAGCAGTGACTTTCTGATTATAATTTCTTAATTTTGTGATAGTAGACAACCAATGGTTACTACTTTGGTATTGTTCATATATATGTAAAGTTTTTAGGTAAGATACCAGTTGAATAAATATTCACAATCTACGAGTTTCAGATCTTTTTTCATTATGATTACTTCGATTCTGTTAACTTGCCATGGAAATATTTTTCAACCCATGAGTTACGTGTATACGGTTCAGGTTTTTCTGTGTATGTGTGTGTGTTTTTACTTAATTTAACTCTGTAGTACACCCACTGTTTTCCTAAATTCTTGAGTAATCACCAATGATCGTTTTCTCGGAACGTTCATAAGAGTTTTTTTTAACAACAAGTGGGTTGTGTGACAGAACCAAGTTAGTGTCAATGACTAGACAAGTAGACACTGTGAAATTATCCAGTAACCGATCAATACGTGTTAACCAGTCCTGAAAGGAGACAACTGCATTCTGATCAGTTCAGTAAATACATCTCTTATCGTGTTACTGTCCAGAAGAAAAATAAATGATTTTAATAGCCACTGAATAACATAAACTACAGGAATGTGGGTTTGGTTTAGTTAAGAGATCGTTCAAAGTGTACATTAGTGATTCCAGTTCACATCACATCGATTACTGTCAATTTCAGGAAAGAAGTAAATTGTATGCCAAAACAAATGGTCAGTATTTTTGGCATTGTCACTAGCGTGACTACTTACTCATTCGAAGCAATATATAATGCACACATCATATAAGTTTCTGGTTTTGTATTTTTCCTAAAATCACCTACTTTTGAAAAGGGAGAGTTACATGAATGATCAATAATCGTGTAATTATAGTTGCAGATAAAATAAACTGCATACTGACCCAGTGGTCTAAAGTTCTAAAGGTGTCCTTAACGTGTTATCAGCTCATAACGTAGACCGTTTGCAAATCATATATTGATTGGTCACGGGATAATAACCAATTTCAGTTTGTCTAGTCCTTAGTGCAAACCGAATCCTATCGATCACATTTGCTATGTGGCAAACAAGCTAGAAGGCTCTGCATCGCGGTGCAGTCTGTAGGAATCCCCGGAGCTAGATTTCGTGCTTGTTGGCGCTCGTCAGCAAGGCGTATCTGCAACCCCCACGGGACCGATGTCCCGCCTCCAACCAACCAACACCTACTGTTTGCAAATCAATTGCTTGTTTAAAATCTAAGGATATTGTGCTGTAGTTCTGTGTCATTACCATTGTCCATGTATATCTTTTCTCACTAAAGCTATAAGTATTGTTTAGTTAAAGAGGAATTCGACGTTCTAAACTAGTACACTTCATTTCTTATCGATCAAGTGGGAATTCGCGTATATAATTAATTACTCAGCACTATCTACTGTCGACTGGAAGCTAAATAAATTATCACTGACTTTACGAACCTCAGCGTAAACAATGCAAGTTTGAATCTGAAGAGAAAATATGAATTCCATCCAGTTTGCAGTCATACATTACTGATAAGTATTAAAAAGGTCAAATGTGAAACGCTGACAAAAAAATATCTACTGGAAATGTAACCAACTACTTAAGTATGTTATCAGTAGTTCGTATAAGCACAGTAGAAATAAAATGTTTCTTTCGAAGTTAGTAGTGGTACTGTTATTGAAATTTCTTCATCGCAACACAACTTCTGTCTGTCATGGCTACATAAACTTACTTATGGTACGATGGTTGAACATCATGAGTTTTGAATTCAATTAAAGTTGATTCACTTACCTGTATTACATCGATCTTTGCTCCATATAACTATGTAATTGAATGATTGTAAAAGTCACCACCTTCTGTACCAACACTTGAATATTAACCTGAAAACTTAATGTCAGATTCATACTCTTGAAAAGGATTTTCCTAGCAAGATCGAAACGTCGAGGAACAATACAAAATTTTTGTTTATTTTGTTGTTTGTTCTAATACAGTATGCCGGGATTACACAAGTAAAAATACACCTTATACAATGTAAAGTTCATTCGGTTCTTTTAGTTTCATTTTCACCTAGTTTTAATTGCCAGATATAATTTTACTCGTTTTGTTGTTGGAAACCGTTCAAATTCCAGACTAGTAAACTCTTACGAGTTAAAACTAAAGCCTAATGACCTACATATAGAAGAGGATGAAAAAAAATGGTTATTTTCGGTGTAACAAGTCTTTATACCAAAATACCAATCAATACGGTGCTGGATATGGTCAAAAAATCAACTAAATATTGACCCACAAGTTACTCATAGAACTAAGATACAGGTTGATGAGATCATATTAGGCGAACAGTTGTGCCTGACCTCTACAGTCTTCAAGTTTCAGGTCAAAGTATATCGACACAAAGAAAGAGTAGCAATGGGATCGCCAATATCCCCAGTCGTAGCACATATATTTATGGTTAGCTGGGAAAACATGGCCCTACAAACGTTTAATCTTGCACCAAAAATATGGTGGTGATATGTGGATGACACATCACTACTGTTTTGAAATCGGAATATGTCAACAGTTTCCTCACACATATAAACTCAATAGTAGACGCAATCCAATTCACTTACCAGCAGATAGAAAATGAACAAAGAGAATTACCGATATTGGATTGCAGGATAAAACGAAGGACAGACGGTGGTTTGGATACTATCGTCTACTGAAAACTGACATATTCCAAGAAGTATCAAGACTTCACATCATCCCATCAAAGGTCAGTTAAAGCAAGCGTAGTTAAATGTCTAAGTGATAGGGCTAGAAAACTGACTAATCAGTGCAAGGACTTAAACAAGGAATCGAAGCACATAATGGTTAATAATTATTCTCTACAGTTTATTAAAAAATCCATTGTGTTACCACATAAGGAAGATACATCAGAAACTTCACGTAGGATCCTCAATAAAGATGGAATCAGGGTAGCATTTACACCTACAAACCCAATCAGAGATAAGCTCTGTCAGCTGGCTTGAGGATTCGATAAAACCAACCAACTAAACAAAATAATCTAATCTTTCAAATTCCATGTAATAACTGTGACTTAGGTCAAGTACATAGGTGATACCAATCAGCTGATCAGGGTCAGTTACAATAGTGGAACATAGGATGTTAGCTTAGTATAGAATGACATACACTAACAAGATCAATAATCTAAAGAAAAACTCGCCTATTGCACTACATGCATTTACACACAACCACACAATGTGATGGGTGGGATAATACCACTGTACTTATGTCGAATATGATTAGGTATAGAGAGGGGGGACCGATTATTGATTGAATACCACCAATAGAAACACAGAATATGACGTGACAGGACTATAAAAAGGCAGACGTCGAAAATAGTATGATTACATTGATATGATTATGAGCAATAATTATTTATGCTTGAAACGTAGTCATCAAGTATCATCACTCACTGTATACTATAAATCAAATTAACAAATTTAATATTGAATTGTTTTATACTTGTAGAATTACTTCAGTGATCCATGGAATGTATTTGATTTTATTATTGTCGTCGGAAGTTTTGTCGATATTAACATGTCACATTTAGCTGTAAGTTATACAATTTTATTAAAGGATATTCATCTGTATGAAGTGTATAACTTTTTCAATTTCCATAAGTAAAGAGAAGGGAACTAGACAAATGAGTATAAGATACAAGTCAACACACGTCATACAGATTGGGACATGAAGATGACATGAACGAAGGTGAAAAATAATTGAATCCAAAAAAAAGAAATCAACCAATCAACAGTTATGAAAACTTGTACGAGAAATAGGTGAAAAGATAAAATAAGCATTGATAGATAAAGCAACAGTTTAGATGAAGATAAGGTATGCAAGCCTGTGTACTACTGAAGTGAATTCTACGTCATGCATTGTTGAGTTTGTAACTACTGATTTCAGTTATGTTATAGACCTCATCTATGCAGTCTACACTCCTCTTCATTGTTTGTAGAAGTGATTAGAGATTTCAAGGATTGATACAATATCTTATTTAATCTTCCTGGAAGATTTGGATTTCGCCGATGACTTAAGTCTAATGTCACACAAACTCGAATATCTACAGGCAAAAACTAACAAGTTGACAGAAGAGGCAGTGAAGACGAGACTCGCTTCGAGTGAATGTAGAGAAAACGGAGGTGGTGAAAGTACCCAACTAACACCTCCACCACCAACAACAAGCTCCAATCACCATCAACGGAAGAAACTTAAAGGAAGTACCCCTTTCACCCACAATACTAGGCAGCATCGTTTCAACTAAAGGTGGCAGCACAGGCACAGACGAGGACATTAAATCCAGTCAGGATCGGAAAGACATCAAGACAAGACAGGCCTTCCTTCATCAACCTGAAATCAGTGTGGAGGTCTTCTGCACTGCACTCAGGAGAAAGCGTGAACAATATCCGCATTTTCAACACCAATCCAGTCAAATAAGTCAGTGCTTGCATGTGATGATTGAGAGACTTGGCGTCTTACGAAAATGCATTTCCAACAAACTACAGATATTTATCAACAGCTGGTGCCTACGCTGGCTCGATACTGACACTGAAGTGCTGATGGCCAGAATAGAAGGATGAGCAACAAGGAACTCACTCTGGCTGGCTGGCAACGAACCAACAAAGCAAGAACCTATCGCTCATCAAATACGCCTGAGGAAGTGGAGATGGAGATGGATTGGGCATGCACTGAGAAGACCATTCGGGGACATCACGCGCCAGACCAGGCCGTCGAGTGGAACTTAGATGGGAAACGACGAGTTGGGAGTCCGAGGTGAGGGTGACATGGAAGAGATGGTGTGAGGAAGAAATGAGAGTTTGTGGGCAGTGGTGGAGGCAGGTTGAAAAGATTGCAGAGAAGTGGAGAGTGTAATGGAGACGTGCTACTGAAGGTGTATGTTCCACTAGAAACCCAGGGGACAGATAATAATAATAACTTGATCTAGCCATTTTTGTCCTATCGTGTATTGCAGGCTACAAAAAGTGGTAGAGGTGATATGCATTCTGTATGTTTCACACAAGTTCCAGTCAATTCGAGTAGCCAAGAATCTTGGCAAGGCATACATCAACAGCGGAAATTTACATGAATTGGTGTTACTTCTTCAGCCGTCTTCAATTAGCTTTCTTACTAGCCACTCCTGTACTTCCTAACATCACAAATCGACTTGTATTTGGAAATAAATAACACCTCTTACATAGGACTATACTCCTAACTTTGAGACTGCTCTAATAAGGATGTCATGCCCCATAAGTTCTGCTAGGAAGACAACAATAAAATGAGTTTATTCGGATGCAGCATGGACGATGATTAAGCTGGCGCTACCATAACTGACATTTTCTTTGAATGATCTCACATCCTGGAGGAATGATAGTGTTGCTACGGAGATCAAAACACAAAAGCCACACATATAAACTATAACTGACTGTAAAGAAGTATTTATTTACTCAGTTTCTGACAATTCATATGGATAAACTGTCAAGTTAAGAAGTCTGTCATAGCCTAAACTTATTTAATAGTGAAATATTAGCTTATTTCTTCCCTTTTGCTGTGTTCATTTCTAAACAACAACTGGACATAACTGCTTCCTATTATTCAATTAGATTTAACGAGTTACTTTGTCGAATTGAAATGTTCTTCAAATTAACAATGATTCCTAAGCAATTGCCTTACATCGTTTTGAGCTTAGAATTCTCAGTAAATTAAACAATTACAGCTTTGTCTGCTCTATAAAAATTCCCAGTATAATTCAAACTACCTATGAAAGGACAAAAAGTATCTTCTTTTCGATCACTTCTTCAAATCCTACAGTTATACGTCATTACTGTGTAATCTTGTATCAACAACAGGTAGATTTCGTTTAGAAGTTAGTTAATAATACTATACAGTTGAGGAATTCTCTTCAAAAATGCCTTGTGTTCATCTTCTGTTGAAATGATTCTTCAGTACAAGTCCTATACTAGGTTAATGTTAGCATTTAGAATACAGACAGAGAGATAAAGTCAAAATAAAACCCTGTACACAGACGGATTGGCTCAAGTTGTCACACTTCACAGTAGTGTACTAAACGAAGGTAGATGAAAAAGACCGATTTCAAAGTAGACGAAGTTGTGTGAGAGAGAAAAACAGTCTGAAGATAAAGGTTCAAGCTTTACAAAATATCAAGGAGTGAATACATCTCCACCACTACGACCAATTTTCAGCCATATCACCAACAGTCCTATGGTCTCCAGGACCCCAACCGGGCAGTCTATATCTCCCCATAAAGCTCCATTTAACAGTCAGGGACTTCATGGATTTTTATCACATTTCGCCACCTTGAACCCTTTTCTATAAACTAATTCAACTCCTCATAGCATGGCACGTCGAGGCAAGCGGTGGTTCGGCATGCATAGTATATGTCCAAGCCATCTCAATCGACTAAGGTTCACAACGTTATCAGTCGACTTGCTGGTCTTATCTAGTACCTTTCGCATCATCTCAACATTGCTCACACTTATACACTTTATCATCTAAGGACTAACATTGTTTCCTTTAGGTTTTTGAAAAATATTATTCATACTGTAAAAATGACAGTTGTTTTTCTGTTCTTTGTAATCTATTTATGTATTTCTCTTTTTTTCTTCTCTTTATCTTAGGCTAATTCAAAATTTATTAGTATAAACTTTTTCGTTTGTTTCGTGTAATGAGACTTGTAAAATTATTGAATCGTGGTGAAGGCATACGAACACTTCTATGGACATTTGTTAAATCATTTCAGGTAGGCATGTAATCTCCTATCCTTATTATTACCATTAATGTTATTAGTATATATATTTAGAATATCAGTTTTTATTTATTCATAGATGAAATATCATAGGTTAAAGTAACCGATTAGGTGATCCATTGGATTTGTCACCGTGATACTGATCGGTATGATGTTGAGGAATTATCAGTATACAATAAACATTCTTCTTAAGAGGACTACAGAATATCATCACACGTTCTACTATGAGTTCGGTAAATAAATACTCTAAATAACTTTTAATAGGTTTCCTTATTAGCAAAATCCGTATAACTATGATGGATAAATAGAATAGTAGTCAACTCTCTACCTCAACTTCATCGGCTTTGAAAAGGCCTTCGACAACGTCAACCGAGAAGTAATTTGACAGGCAAGTGTTTTAACACTACGGAATACCACAAAGCTTTATTAACCTGATTCAACAGCTGGCTATATGAAGAAGCCACATGCCAAGTAATTCACGATAGGAAGCTTAGTGATGCCTTTGAAGTGAAGACAGGAGTAAGACAAGGTTGCTGCCTACTATCGCCGATCATCTTCCTGATTATGGTTGACTTGACTAAACTAGATCATGCAACAAAATGTGAGAAGCTGTGAGAAGATGGGTATACGCTGTTTGATTGATGAAAAGACAAAGACCCTAGAAAATTTGGATTTCGCCGATAATGATTAATATCTAATTTCTTTTCACAAAAACTCGAAGATCTACAGGTGAAAACTAACAAGTCGGCAGAAGAGATAGGGCAGTGAAGGAAGATGGAACTTTTCTTCTTCATTGAATCTACACCAAACACGTAATAGAAAGAAATTAAACTCAGTTAGTCAACGGTATTCGATATGAACAAAAGATGATACTACTTAATAAGAATAAAGGGATAAAAATCTAAATCTGATAAAGGATGAAGTAATCTACCAACAGCCAAGAAGACTCACCAAGCTATCAGTCATTCTTTACTTACTAATATCTTCCTTTGATAAGTTATGCAAAACATTAATGCCTTGAATCAGTTATTTTAGAATATATATAATAAGGCAAGCATATGTGAATTATGCAAACTTCGGCTTCGATCTTAAGTTTTTAAGCTAGCCAATGATTCAATTGAAGGATAAACACTTGTTTTAGTAATTAGTGAAAACTTAGTTAAACATAAAAGTCTGTTTCATTGAATAGGAAGGAAAAAATGTTTTCAGTTTTAACTGTTTCGCTTGTAACTAAGATTATAAGTGTTCATGAAATAGCAGTATAACTCTTACCAGACTAATTTAAGACAATATAGAGGTGTACTAAAGACATAATGAACTATACTAATTCCATTCTGCTTTGTTTATTCAATATATCACATAGTGAAAGTGTATCTCGGATAGAATTTACTTTCTATAGTTATGTCATCTTGACAAGACTATAAAGAATAAATTGTATTCGAATCATCGTCCATAAATAATGTTTAATCTGATAAACAGACAAAAATGGAAGTATAAGCTATCATAGTTCCAAACTTTTGCTCCCAGATCAATAAATCATACTGTGGATTAAATATAAATGTATGAAGTATATTAGTATTGATTAACAAGTTAATTATCATTTAACTAAATGATAAATGCCTCCCCAGGTAAAAAAAAAAAGAGTTATGCTATGATTAGTATAGAGAATCTTTGAATTATCAAGTTGACTCTATGTTGATTGATAATGCTAGACATAATAATCGATTAGGTTTTAATTTCTAAGAGGAATTTTCATTCACTTTCAATTAACAACAAAATTAGTATGTGATTCCACGACTAATCAATTATCAATCATTTACTCCATTGTACTAATTCAACTTGATGTGAACTGTATAGAAAAGACATAGGTAGGTAGCTAATGTGATGACACAAATAGTGATAATCTTAAGTTATATCTTAATCATTAATACTATAACATGGAATCCACCTTAGCGATTGAAGTGAAATTAAAACCTAACCACTATACAGATCTTATTTCCTTACTACTTCGATAAATCACCATTAACCTGATAAATTGATGACTGAAATCGTCCGAACACTTCTGTTTACTATCAGTTTTAAATATCATACCCTTAAATAAATATGTGAATCAAATATTTACATATTTTCTATTCTCTTATCTTGTTAATCGTTATAGGCACTACCGTATGTTGCTTTACTGATCATCATGTTATTTTTTATATATGCTGTGATTGGAATGCAAATGTTTGGTAAGATTGCACTAATCAATCCGGATAGTTCAATAAATCGTAATAATCACTTTCAAACATTTCCTCAATCCTTATTGGTATTATTTCGTTCTGCAACTGGTGAAGCATGGCAAGAGATTATGCTAAGCTGTGTTAATGGTAAGACTAAAGAAATTCATAATTTTTCCTGTTATTCTGAAAAGAAAATAACATACTTTCTTGCTTTACTATTATTATTATTTGTCCCTTGGGTACCTTTTGGAACATAGGGCTTCAGTAGCACGCCTCCATTTCACTCTGTTCTCTGTAGTCTTTTCAACCTCGCTCCACGACTGGCCATAAACTTTCATTTCTTCCTCACATGATCTTCATGTCATCGTCGTCTCGGACGCCCAACTCAACGTTTCCTTCTTTGAATTCCACTTGAAGGTCTGCCATGTGATGTCTGCGAATGGCTTTCTTAGTGTATGCATAATCCATCTCCACTTTCTTCTGTATAATTGTTGGGTGATAGGTTCTTGGTTGGTTCGTTGCCAGAGTTCCTTGTTATTTATTCTTTCTGGTCATCTGATCTTCAGTATCAAGCCAGCGTAGGCATCTGTTGATGAATTTCTGTAGTTTATTGGAAATGCTTTTCGTAACACGCCAAGTCTCCTTAAAAAATGTTATCAGGTCTCTTCGACCCGCAGCCTGTTCTGCCTCACTTGCAAGTAAGTCGTAGAAGTGCCTTTTGTTTTTCCGTGCACTCCTCTTCACTTCTTTGTTCAGCGTACTGTTTTATAGGCTGTGTTCAGTTCCTCTTTTCGTTGTTCACACCTGCACTGCATTGGTTCATCTTCTGCTTCAACATCTTTCTCTCCTCTATCATTCTCCATGTGTCCGTCGAGATCCATTCCTTGTCCATTCATCGCGTTACTATATGGTAAGGTTAATATACATTGTACTATGTCCATGTATTAATTAAAACATCCTCCTAGACATTAACAGTTTTTGATGGAATAAAGAAGCATTGAAAAGAAATATAAGAACAATCTTTATCTAAACATGCTTGAAAATGGTCTCAATTGCTATAATGATACTAGAAGTAAACAGCCTGAACCTTGAGCATTCATTTAGGTAACATTGTAATGACCATAGAAATACATAAAATACTTTTCAAGTTGATCATGAATTTCATGTGTAGAATCTTTTTGTAAATAGGTGTGAAGGAAGTAGCCACATCAATCCTGTGACCCGTCGCGACGATATATTTGGTGATCGAAGAACTTGGACGTCCGTTACTAACGTTTATGGGTTCACGTGACTTAATTTGCTTTTGAAGCCACTTTGAAATGTGCTCCGAGCCCTTTACTTGCATGAACCTATGCATGTGTCACCACACGTACATTTAAATTGGTAGATACAATGGGATGTGACATTGTAGTTCACATGCTGTGGGTCTTGGAACATATTCCAAAGTGGCTTCAAAAGCAAATTAAATTACCTGAACCCATAAACGTTGGTAGCAGGCGTCCAAGTTCTTCAATCGCCAAACATGTAGAATCTTTCTTCGATGGAACACGCTTTAAATGACTGATTCAGTAAAAGTAAATATTTCTCAACTACTTCGCGCCAAGAACTCTTATCCTATAAAGAATAACTTTGCAACACCGTTTATTTATTTTGTGTTAGATAAAAAGTAACAAGGGGCTGAATGGAAAGTATACCAGTTTCCCTATAATCCAAAGTCCATAAACTAACCAGCTGGAATACAAAAACATGTCAAATATCTTTAAAAATAGTCATAGTGTATCACGAACCATATGAGAGTATCAAAAACTAGCCCCTGAATTTCCACTTACTGATTGCATGAAAACATACTAACTAGAAGACTCATAGTTCGACCTAATCAATGAAGATATTGAAGGGTTTCATTCTTCGAAACCTTAAAGATAGAAAGCAAAAGGTTCATATTGGTTCGAAGTTATCAGAGACTTCTAAATGAGATATTGATTCGATAAGAAAATTCATACAGTCGATCAACTGAAATCTGTAACCATCTAGACAATATCACTGTTTGTTAACCCTAAGTAGTCCAAAACAGCTACTTTTTGGTGGAGGAGTATACACACTGAATGACTGATTATCTAACTGATATTTGAACTTCCTGTACAATACAAAGCATGAAAAGATACTTCGAAGAAGTTAAACTGAAATAAACATTTAAATAGACGATGAATAAAATGACATTCAGAATACTTTAATGTTTGTAATTTATATTCTGATAAAGAGCAGGTGAATATCCACGTCTTCAGTCTGAAATTCATTCACATTATCCGCATTTTTCACATATTTCGCTGATCCCACTGTTATTGACATGTTTTAATTTAACCTTATAAGGTAGCTACTGTTTTCTCGTACTTACCTTCGAAGATCATGATCTCGAACAGTGTATCAATCGACTTACCACTTGGTTTTGGCATTAATCGACGGCTAGTGATTGACACAGATTACGTTTTCTACTGCAACATGTTGCGTAACTAATCTAAGTGACTACATCATACAGCTAGTCCATGGAATTCGTTTGCCACCAAAGACTAAACGGCATAACATCACCTATTTCTCAATGGGTAATCAGTACACTTCATCTGTTACTTAAAAGGTTATTGGCAATTCAAACTGCATGATGATAAATGATACAAATACAATTCTACCTGGCCTGAATTCTACTTATCAACTTAGCATGAGTTTTTTGGTGGTTGAAGAGGTGATCTGTTAATGAGTACCGATATGAGTTTATGAACACATAATACTTGAACTACCCAGTATACCTTCTTCTAGGTGAACCTTTAAATATGTCACTGATAATATAGACGTGTCAACCCATCCCTACATGGAAATGTTGGTCATTCCAAATCGTCTAGGTTCGATGCGACAATCTAGAAATGTAAACTGGCTACTTTGCCTGGTCATTAAGTTTCTATTCTCGAACTATTTACCTTTCCCAAATTCTACATCTTTCTTATACTTGCTAAAAAAGGCTTATATTCTGTGTTGAATGTAATTCAAACAATATATTTAGTGTTATAATCTCAAGTTGTAAAGATTAGTTTGTGAGTGAATAAGCACCTCAATAATTAAGTCGAGTCGAAACCAGTTGGTTGGAGGCAATCGCTAGGTAGCCCTGGACCTACCTTCCGTGCTTGTTGGTGTTCATCAGCAAGGGATATTTGCAACCTCAATGAAACTAATGTCCCACATGAGATTTGAACCCGCGTCACCCAGTGTTGTGGTTAGCGACTTTTCCACTGAGCCATTCGGGCTGCGACTGACCTCCTGTAGGACTGGCTTATATATAATGACTGTTTACGGGAGTGCAACCAATTTCATGTTGTCTAGTCCTGAGTGCAGACCGAATCCTATCGATCATATTTGTAATGTGGCAATGTTGCAGATGCGCCTTGCTGATGAGTGCCAAAAAGCACGAAACCTTGTTCCAGAGCCTCCTGCCGATCGCCTACAACCAACTAACATCTACTAATGTGCACCACGATGCTGAGCTTCCTAGCTTGGTTGCCACATTGCAAATACGATCGATAGAATTCGGTCTGCACTCAGGACTAGACAACATGAAATTGATTGGACTCCTATTACCAATAAATACATGAGGCAAAACTGAATTAAATTTTTTGGAGCTAATGACACTCATGGATAATATTTCTCTTCCTCAAATCAAATGGCAAGTACCTAAAAAATCTTAAATGTATACAAGCAATACAATGAAGAATCGTCAAAAGCAGGAATTTCTTATCCAACTCATTCATCAAAATAAAATGATCTCAATAAATTTCTATTAGGTTCAAGCTTGGTAGTATTGTGTTCTCTGAGCTGGATTGTTTAATCGTGAAGCTTTCATCGTCTTGCCAGACAGTGACATCGTCAGCACTAACTTCAGTATGAAATAGTAAGCTGTCAATATCTCTCCATGAGTGATTTAGTAGCTTGCTTTGACGATATGGTCTGTGATTGGTTGTTTCCTTCGATTGTTGTTTCATTGATTGTATAGACTTTCCTGTTGACTATTCCTCTGCTTCACCTCTGACCTCTATGTTCTTCATCATTTTTCTTACTGCTTGATAGATTAGGTCTATGTCTATACGTCTATTGATTGCTGACTGACTGACTGACTGAATGCCAAGCTTCTAGGAATTCTCTGATATTCGTTGTGTTTCCTCTCTCCATCCAACATTTCTACATTGTCAAAATTCAATTCCTGTTCACAGCTGTTGTCCACGTGCATTGAAATGAGTGATGAAATGTCGTGTGTGAGGTTTACTAGCCAATCGGTGTTGATGTAGACGAAGGTGAAGAGGCTGACCACTTTGTCCAATGTAGTGTTGACTACAGTGATTGCAGTTGATTTTGTAAATGACATTCGGTTTTTCTTGTTTGGTTGTTGCATTCTTTGGTCTGCATAATAGTGTTTAGAGGGAATTTGTTGGTTAGTGAGTCGCCACACCAATTGCAAGTAGTCTCAGCAACTTGTTGTGATTTCTGATACATTTTTATGTATGGTAGATGATGCGTTTATTGATTTCTGTCGATGACTGTGTAGTTGGTGATGCACGGATAGGCATCTTCTGACAAAGCTTCGTGGGTATCCGTTCTTCTTTAGGATGGACATGAAGTAATTTCGTTTCTGTATGAAGTTGTTGTACTGCAGTGTATTCTCGCTCTCCTGAATAGAGTCTGCATGGAACTGATATTGTGCATCATTGAGTTGTTACTACTGGAGTTGAGGATTTGATCAGTATGTGTTGGCTTCTTGTACACTCGGATTTCCAGTTTTCCGGCATTTATTCTACTGTCCAGAACATCCAGGAACGGTAGTTGTTTGTTTGACTCTTTCTTCATTGTGAATTTGATTTCATTGAAAAAGTTGTTGAACAGACTGTGGGTGTTTTCTTTATCATCTTTTTTAATGATGACAAAAGTGTCGTCCACGTAGCGAATCCAAATTTTTGGTTTGATCACAGGTAAAGCGATAGCTTGCAGGCTCTGCATCACTGCTTCTGCAATTAGTCCGGATATCGGTGATCCCATTGGAATTCCTTTCATGTGTTTGTATATCTTAAGGTTGAATTGGAAGTATGCTGTCAGATAAAGGTCGATGAGTTCCATCAGACTTGAACGTTTGATTTTGCCTATTCTAGTCAGTGTTTTGCCTAAATCTGTATGTTTGTCACAAAACCGATACATAGTATCAGTCATTAATATAAATGTAAGACTTGGGCACTATGGTAGAATATAATTCCATATTAGATTTGGTTATTTGATTTATAACACACAGTGACACAGTATTATTTACTGGATGACCACGTTTTGAGCATAAATTATCATTGCTCATAATCACATCTCTACTTTAGACAACTGATTTTTATAATCCTGTCACTTTTTATTCTTATTTAAAAGATAGAAAATGAACAAAGAGAATTATCTATGTTGGATTGCAGAATAAAATAAAGGACAAACGGTATCTTGGATACTACCGTCTACTGAAAACCGACATATTCCAACAGGTATCTGCACTTCAAATCATCACATGTCATTTAAGGCAGGCTTAGTCAAATGTTTGAATGATAAAGCTAGAAAACTGACTAATCAGTGCAAGGACTTAAACAAGGAATCGAAGCACATAATGGTTAATAATTATTCTCTACAGTTTATTAAAAAATCCATTGTGTTACCACATAAGGAAGATACATCAGAAACTTCACGTAGGATCCTCAGTAAAGATGGAATCAGGGTAGCATTTATACGGACAAACCCAATCAGAGATAAGCTCTGTCAGCTGGCTTGAGGATTCGACAGAACCAACCAACTAAGCAAAATAATCTAATCATCAAATTCCATGTGATGACTGTGACTTAGATCAAGTACATAGGTGATACCAATCAGCTGATCAGGGTCAGTTACAATAGCGGAATATAGGAATTTAGCTAAATATAAGATGACAGATACGAATAAGATTAGTCAAGTAGAAAGGACTTGGCTATTACAATGCATGGATTGACACGTAGCCACACAATATAATGGGTGGGTTAAAATCACCGAATATAATTAGGTGGAGAGAGAGAGACTGATTACAGAATCTTTGTTCATCGAATCAACCAACATCCAACATATGTAATAGAAATGACGCAACACCTAGACCAGAGATATGGAAAATTTTACTACCAATAAAAATGAAGAGTATATAAGGTGATAGGGCTATAAAAGTCAGATATCGCAATTTCTGTGATTACAGTGATATGACTATGGGCAGTTATAATTTATGCTTGAAACGTCATCAAGTAAATAATGCCAGATCACTGTGTTATAAATCACTAACCAAATCTAATGTGGAATACTGTCAATCAGTTTTGTAAATTTCCTAATTGTTGTTTATTGTTCTTGAGTGTCCATATAGTGTTTGTTGAATATATCAACTTTGGCTATTAGACATTCTCCTTTTCAGCAATAATTTCTGTGTGGTTATAGGAAACTCATTAAATATTGTTTCATATACAAAGCCAGTTTAAATTTCATGTTGACTGATGAAATTCGGTCTAGTTCCCTGACTGTCAGTGGGTAACCGAACGAAGGCTGTAAACAAGTGATATAGTGTAACTAATATACTCACTAATCGTATACTGATTCACAAACGACATTATAATACTTTTACGGAACCATCAGATTGACAACTTCTTAGAAGAAACAAATCATCTTTAGTTTAATACTCTGCTTTCGAGATAAACTTTAACAAATTCTCATCAAGAGAGTTCTGATATTCCATTTTAGTCTGTTTATTAGAAATATCAAACTGTAGCATTTACTGGATACCAACGTTTCGGACACAATTTGTTGTCCATATTTATATCAGGCAACTAACTGCATAACCTTGAGACAAACCTTATTATTATTATTATTATTATTAGTCCCTTGGGTTCCTATGGAACATAGGGCTTCAGTAGCACGTCTCCATTTCATCCTGTTCTCTGAGATCTTTTGAACCTGGCTCCACGACAGCCCACAAGCTCTCATTTCCTCCTCACACGACCTCCTCCATGTCACCCTCACCTTGACGTCCAACTCGTCGCTTCTCATGGGGATTCCACTCGAGGATCTGACCCGTGATGTCCCCAGTCGGCCTTCTCAGTGCATGCCCAATCCATCTCCACTTCCTCCTGCATATTTGTTGCGTGATAGGTTCTTGGTTGGTTCATTCTCAGAGCTCCTTGTTGCTTATTCTTTCTGGCCATCTGATCTTCAGTAGCGAGCCAGCGTAAGCAGTTGTTGATGAATGTCTGTAGTTTATTTGAAATCCCTTTCGTGACGCGCCAAGTCTCTGAACCCTACTGAAGCACTGACTTGACTGAAGTTGGTGTTGAAAATCCGGATCTTGTTCCACATGCTGAGTGCAGTGCAGTAGATGTCCACATTGGTTTCAGGTTAGTGAACGCCTGTCTTGCTTTTCCGATCCTGACTTGAGGCCTTGTCTGCGCTGCATGTAGTTGAAACAGTTCTGCCAAGATAGGTGAGAGAGGCTACTTCCTTTAAGTTTCTCCTGTTGATGGTGATTGGAGTTTGTTGTTGTTGTTGTTGGAGTTGTTGGTGCGTATCTTCATCACCTCTGTCTTCTCTATATTCACCTGAAGTCCCGTCTTCGCTGCCTTGACTTTTCTGTCAACTTGTTAGTTTTCGACTGTAGATCTTCAAGTTTGTGTGACATCAGGCACAAGTCATCGGCGAAATCCAAGTCTTCTAGGTTCTTTTCCGCAGTCCAGCCAGCGTATCCCCCTCTTCTCGCTCCCCACTGTTTGCTGCATGATCCAGTCCACCACAATCTGGAATATCATGGGGGATAGTAGGCAACCTTGTTTCACTCCTGTCTTCACTTCACTGCAAAAGCATCACTGAGCTTCCCATTTTGAATTACCTGGCATATGGCATCTTCATGTAGTTGAGACAAACCTTATGTAGTCCTAATTTTCTCTCCTTCTCTGTCATGACAAGCGTAGTAGAATTTTCCATATATCTGGGACAAGTGCAGAATCATTTCGATTGTTGCATGTGTGTTAGTGTTGATTTGATAAACAAAGATTCGGTTATCAATCTCTCCCTCCTTCCACCCAATCAAGTTAGTTTTCATACTGTCGCCCTATCCCACCCTACTGTGTGATTGTGTCATCACATACAGAGCTATAGCCAGGCGTTTCTCCAAATTTCTTATATTATTAGGATCTACTTGGATCTAAGATCGACCATAGTCCTAATAATATAAGAAATTTGGAGAAACGCCTGGCTATAGCTCTGTATGTGATGACACAATCACACAGTAGGGTGGGATAGGGCGACAGTATGAAAACTAACTTGATTGGGTGGAAGGAGGGAGAGATTGATAACCGAATCTTTGTTTATCAATCAACACTAACACACATGCAACAATCGAAATGATTCTGAACTTGTCCCAGATGTATGGAAAATTCTACTACGCTTGTCATGACAGAGAAGGAGAGAAAATTAGGACTACATAAGGTTTGTCTCAAAGTTGTACAGTTAGTTACCTGATATGAATATGGACAATAAATTGTGTCCGAAACGTTGTTATCCAGTAAATGCTACAGTTTGATATTTCTAATAAACAGACTAAAATGGAATTACAATCGACTACAGTGCCCAAGTTTTACTCTTATATTAATAGTTTTAACATGTATGTACATCTATCCCTTCTGTATAAAATCTGTAATGAATTATTAATATACATAATAATCATTTTTAAAATTCTAGATCATACTGTTAAATGTGATCGATACTCTGATACAGAAATGAAAGCAATAAGAAGTTTTTTAGATGAACAATTTCCAGTTTATTACAATACAAGTGATACAATTAATTCTCAATTTGATATAAATAAAACTATCGATACTTCAACAACAACAACAACAGCAACAGCAACAACAACAACAACTCTTCTATCAATTAATCATTCAATGAATAATAAACAGCCTTTACAATCAAATATTATTGATGAATTGAATCAGCCTATATGGAATGTTTTAGATACTAGACTTATTCATAATAATAATGAAACACCATATTTCACTTATATACATCCATCTACCTTAATGACACCGGATAATCCACCAAATGTAAAAGATTGGTTATACGCTTTTCCATCTGTTGAAACTATTCACTCTTCAACTGATGACTTTATTTTTCCATTAGATCATACTAGTAAACATAAACAAATTAGAGAAATTTATAATCAAACTATATTCTCATCATCATTACAATCATTATCAAAGATAACAGAAATTAATCATATTCCAATAGTTTATGATGAACGTACAATTAGTACAAAGAAATTAGATGAATTAGGATATAATGGACCAAGAGCTATTTGTGGATCAAATTTTGCATATCCATACTTTATATCTTTTTATATGGTTTGTTCATTTCTTGTAAGTTTAATTTCATTATATTTCTCAATTTATTACATAATCTTTTATTTATTATTATAATAATAAAATATCATATACGTTTACGGTATCATTCATAATTTTAGTAGTTTAAATGTTTATACAGTTTAATTTATTGGTAATTTGTGAATATTTATTCACTTTCACTATAGTTTTCATTAAAGATCTCAACTATCATGGAGATAAATTATGAACTAGATTTTTTAAATTTCCATGTTACTTTCTTTTTATATGAAGAGGATTCCTAGTGGAAAATAGGTGTTCTGTACCATTTCACCATTGCACTTTGTTCTCTGCAGTCTTTTTAACCTGGCTCCACGACTGTATACATTTATTTATTTATTTTTCCCTTGGTTTCCCAATGGAACATAGGGCTTCAGTAGCACCCCTTCATTACACTCTCTTCTCTGAAGTCTTTCCAACCTGGCACTAAAACTGTTCACAACGTTTCATTTCTTCCCCATATAATCTCCTCTATTTCACCCTCACCTCGGAGGCACAACTTGTCGTTTCCCCTTCCGATTCCATTCGAGAGCCTGGCGGGTGATATCACTAGTCGGCCTCCTCAATGTTTACACAATCCATCTCCACTTTCGTCTGCATATTTGTCGGACGATGGGTTCTTACTTGGTTCGTCACCGGGCCAGAGTTCCTTGTTGCTTATTTTTTCTGCCCATGTGATCTGATCTTCAGTATATAGTGAGCGTTTGGGCAGGTGTTGATGAATGTCTGTAGTTTGTTGGAAATGCTTTTCATGACGTGCCAAATTTCTGAACCATATAGAAGCACTGACTTGACTGGATTGGTGTTGAAAATTCAAACGTTTTTCACGCCTTATGCTGAGTGCAGTGCAGGTTAATGAAGGCCTATCTGACTTTGATGTTCTCATTTATGTGTTTGCCACCTGTAGTTGAGATGATGCTGCCTAGATGGTAGGTGAAAGAGACTATTTCCTTTGGGTTTCTCCCGTTCATGGTGATTGATAAGTGTTACATGATATTGGCAAAATAGCAGCCCATGGTTGACCGACTACTTTTTTTGGATCGACAAACAGCAAGAGTTACTTTCAGATATACTTTCTTTTTAATGCTGTCATTCTCAGTGTACTAATTTGGGTGGTCTATTTTCTCATTAATAAGCTGTGTTGATTGAATTTAAAAATTTCAAAATACGAACTGATTTTTCATATTAAATAACTATTTGTCACTCATTCTTACCGTTTTTAACACTAACCTCTCCTTCTTGGTTGGTGGACGATATGATGGAATACAAAATGTAGAAGGTGAGTTTATGTAAATATTGTACACTATTTTGAAACTACCAACGATCTATCCGACCCAAAGGTTGTTTTTTATGCCTACTGTGGTAAGAATGGATTAGATAAAATGCCATATTTGTTGCACTGTTTAGTAGTGAGAATTAACTTCAGGACTTGCATTGACAACTTTGAAGCCTAACTGGTCAGCTGCTTTGGAAAATAGTTTCTCTTAAAAATCAGTTTACACTTCTTCAAAAATGTTACGTCTAGTCTCTTACCAATCTTGTCGTACAAACTTGAAAATTACAGCCTTCAGGACTATGACAGAATTGCAGATCTAAATGGATCTTATCAAAAGAAGCCAAATATCTTGAGTTCCATTAAAGAGCTGAGACTGCATTTTCCTTCTCCACTTGTCATCCAAGTTAAATAGTGTTCGCAAGCACATTGCATAAGCTGGCGTAACTATTTTTATTTTTGTTATGTAATCATTCTGTTTATTTCCCTATTACGCAATCTTCCTTTATGATACAATCTGAACGGATCATAAAAAATGACAAGCGAATTATCGGTAATTTTATTTCTCTGACTGAAATCTGAAATTCAGCTTAATATTATTTATAATGAGAGTAAATCACTCTACCAAAAATGTAATTTGATTGTATGTTAGATAATGTTCTGGTTGTAATGAATATTATCAAAACAATTGTGCACTCACTATGCAATTTTTACATACCTTTCTTTTGACAAATTGGAGGAAAGTGAGAATGAAAAAAGTCATAGAACAAACTTCATTACGTAGACACGAATAATTAGAAAATGTCAAAGTAACTGTGATCCCAGTTTAATGGAAACAGAAAGAGACAGATATGATGTAACCGAAATAACATCTTATCATTAGAGGAAAGAAAGATTCCTGATTGTCGCGTTTCATTCCCATGCATCACACTTAAAACGTCTGATGGTGGCAGCTGCAAAAAAGCATAACAAACTTAAGATTTTACGGTTTCTTATCATTTAAAGTCTACGGAGGCATTCATTTGGTATCAAGTTTCCACCAACTCCCTCTCTGTCTTAACTAAAATGAGTAATTCATCTCGGCTTTTATCTCTTCAAGTCACTTTCTTACTGTTATCGCCAGATTTTGGAACCTCTTTGCCCCCCTCCCTCCCCTTTTCAACACACTTAAAGCAATTCAAGCATTTGAAAATTCAGCCAACATCAGTCTTTAATGAATACCAACTTGAAATAAACCAACACCTACAAACCATTAGCTAAATTACTTTATATTCTACTTAGTGATTTGATTCAAGATTGATTTCTTCAAAGTTCCAATGAAAATCTATGACCTGTGTGGTCAACCGTCGGGTAAGACAGCAAATAGTCACCAAATGTATCTAATGATGGTTGTGCTATATAGCGAATGGATAGAAGTAAATAAATGTAAACCATTAGATTGTCATCTAGTAATAAAATGCCCACTTCCAGACATGATGAATGTTTGCTTGATTTCTCATAGAGTCATTGATATGCACAAATGTGAAGTTCGAAGCTAGAACAAGGTAACTGTCCAAAACTTTTAAGTTTTCGGTAATTCTTCATGTGATACTAATCATTGAAATCATAATAAACCAGAATATACTGAATCTTCATTCATTCCTCTTTAACCATTCTTCTATAAATGACTATCATACTGACCTTCACAGTATGTAACACAACATATTAAAGTATGTCAATTTTACCAATGAAAATAACGATTATAATTTGCTATGGCGAAATGTTATATATTTGCTGAATCGAAAATAAAATGAATCATCTTGTATTTACTGTTTATTGATGAATAAATTTAACATAACTTTAGTGATTAGATCAAATGACTTGAGTTGGTTGATAAAAACTCCTTAATAACTCGGTTTAATACCTGATATATATAACGTAATCAGTTAGTTGAATTTGTAATGATGAGCAGACTCATCTTCTATAAAAGTTGCACTGACACTCAATCATGCTGTATCAACTGTTTTTATTTCTATTTTACTGGTCGTCATCAATAAATCTAACTGATTACCTACTATCTAACTGTGAAATTGATAACATAGTCATCATAGGACCTATAGAAACTACTTCAGACTGTCAGAAAGCAACAAAATATGAAATTTCAGTCAAGCAGAACATCCGGTGACTACCTTCAACAGATTAACATTATTTATAATTCCCATTGTAAAATCAAATCAAGATATTCAGTGAAGAGGACTACCTTTAGTAAATTTGTTCTCGAGCTGCATATTCCTAAACATTTATTTATTTATTTTCCCTTGGTTTCCCAATGGAGCATAGGGCTTCAGTAGCACCCCTTCATTACACTCTCTTCTCTGAAGTCTTTCCAACCTGGCACTACAACTGTTCACAACGTTTCGTTTCTTCCCCATATAATCTCCTCTATGTCACCCTCACCTCGGAGGCACAACTTGTCGTTTCCCCTTCCGATTGCATTCGAGAGCCTGGCGGGTGATATCACCAGTTGGCCTTTTCAGTGTTTGCACAATCCATCTCCACTTTCGCCTGCATAATTGTTGGGTAATAGGTTCTTGGTTGGTTGGCTCCCAGGGTTCCTTGTTGCTTATTCTTATTATTCTGGTCATCATATCTTCAGTATATAGTGAGCGTTGGGCAGGTGTTGATGAATGTCTGTAGTTTGTTGGAAATGCACTTCATGACGTGCCAAATTTCTCAATCATATAGCTGCACTGACTTGACTGGATTCGTGTTAAAAATCCGGATCTTGTTCTTTGTGCTGAGTGCGGTACATGCCTACATTTATTTCAGCTTATTGAAGGAAGGCCTGTCTTGCTTTTCCGATCCTGGTTCTGATATCCTTCTAAACATACATATATGATATTTAAAGTCTATAATTTCACTCCATTTGAATCTGTGACTTCTAGTGCCTAAAATATCAACAACAAAAAAGATTAAGTCTTATGAGTAAGAGATAAATTTCTACAATATCATTCATAACCAGTGCTATTTCGTAAATAATCATTATCTTCAGTTGAGTAAAATATATAGCAAAATAATCAGCCTGATCTACATTCACTTCTATCGAAATTTCCTAACATAAAAATTGTTCATTCTATTCATCTGAAATAAATATACTTCTACGAAGCTATTAGCTTACACCATTTTATAAAAATTAACTAAATCCTAATATTACTATTTATGCATATGCCTGTAATTCTCTGTTGTTTCATTAGATCGAATTGTTCGACCTCTATTAGCATATAAGCTCCTATGCGGATGCTTCGATTTGCCTAAATGTCAATTATGGTAATTTAGTTGGTTGTGGCTAGCAGAAGAATCGACAACGCGGAGAAGAATTACAATAGAGAACTACAAGTAGATCAATAAATAGTTATAACTACCACCCGTTGTACAAGAAGTGGCCATCTTGCCTCCATAGCATAGTGAATAACGCCTTGATGTTTGAAGTGATGGGTAAGAAGTTAGAGTCTAAGTGGGATAAAAACATAAGTCACTACGATCTAGGTAGATTCGGCTGACCAATGAATCTGAAATAGAACGAAACACGTGTCCTGGATTCATCTGCTAGTCACAACCAACTAAGTAAACCTTGACATATCAATGAACCAAATTAAGTTCATTAGTTGTGTGAAAACGACTTTTATAACAAAACTACTAGCATACATCATAATAATAGATGATAAAAAGTACATCCAATCAATTTTAACCGATGATTACAAAATGTAACTTACACCTTTACAAACTAGCTTATTATCGAATTCCTCATTCATGCAGAAACCTCAATTCATATCTGAATTGTTGTCTAATCTAATTACCATAGACTCTACCAGCCATTACTTCATTTATTTTAGAAGATAGACCATTCATTTTTTCTCAAGCTGTATATTCATATACATATATATGATATTTAAAGACTGTAACACGTGAGGAAGATTTGACTTAAATAATGACAGGTTGAAATAATAATGATAATAATAATGGTGGTTCCAGTTATAATAATCTTGCTAGTTGATGATGTATAATGATTGGATGATAACAAAAAGGGTTTTTAGATCGTTTATATGATGCATATAGATTACAACAAGAATGAAAATGCGGTAAATTTAATAAACAATCGAGGATGATTACGTAAGATAAATGAGACGATCGGTTAATTGGAATAAATTGATAATATTTTCTTAAAATTTGCAATTATTATGAAGAATAAATGAAGTAATGTCGGAAACTCTTAAATGTAGAAATAAAAAGGATAATAACAATACAAGAGTACAAATAAAAAGAGAAGTTGCAGTCTTTATATATATATATATATATATATATATATATATATATATATATAGTAGCTTGAGAATAATTTCTTTGAAAAAGAGTCCTCTTCGTCGAATATCTTATTTTTTAAATTAACATAAGCCAACGTCTACCATGACGATTAGTTGACTAACTTGGTAGCTGAAAGAATTTTATCAGTATTTAGGGCTGACCAATTAATACATACTATGATATAAATGCTTTCTAAGTTTTCAGTCACTATCTTATGATTGAAAAAAAAGCATATGAATTAATCAGCTAACCATTTCTCTTTTGAATAGCACTTGAAATACCTAAATAGATTGCTTGTATACAAACAGTTTCGTATCATAATAGCTAATATTTTAAGAATAATTTATAATATATTTGAAAGCTGGACAAAGTAGACGAAAAGACGAAATCAAACAGCTTATTTGATACTGACAGTTTAATGAAACACCAACTGATTCAATTAACAGTGAGAGTTGATTAATAGTAAAATCTAGTAGTTGAGTTATTTGAACATGTTGGTTAAAATTTTGATGAAACTTAAACCTTTTCATAATCTCTACAGTTCATTTCGGCTTCAAAAGTAGTAAAAAAGACTTAGTAAGCTACACAGTTTGTGTGACTTTTTCTACATCACTCAGTTGATTGTAAGCTAAGTTTCTGTTGGAAAACATATACATAAATAACCAATATATATATATATATATATATATATATATATATATATATATACTGAGTGATGATTGGAGGTGAGATGAAAATTTTGACCGTGGCCTAATTAGAACCAGTGACCGCCGGGTTTCCTGCTCGATGCTCTACTTACTGGGCTACAAGGAAACCCAGTGGTCGTTGGTTTGAATCCCACCGCGGTCCAAACTTTCATCTCATCTTCTTTTATCACCCAGTATAAATACTAGTCTCCTAAGCTACGGCTATCTCAGATAGTCAAGTAAATCAGTGAAATTAAGAACTGTGCAGTTATTTGATGATTCATAAATTCCTACTGTTTACTATAATTACTCCCATTCAAATAGAATGAAGTATTTATTTTTATGAATTCATTGTAACTGGTCATTACCTGCTGTTAACTTGACTTTAAAATCAATAATCGAACTCTTCCATATCAGAATAACTTTAGCCTAGTCTTCAACCAAAAACTCACGTTTACTTGATGTAGTATGTAGTACTCTCTTTAGTTAATCTTTTAAAATTAGAAACGAGAAATAAAGAAAATCTTGGACAAAGATACTTGTAACAACTATTCCTGTTGATTAAACAGCCTTGGTTGTGTAAGCAACTTTTGTTGTACACAAATAATGGTTGAATGAGAAAGAAACTATGAACCAAAATAAAAGTAGAAGTAACGTACTCAGATTACATATCGGCCATTGTTTATAGATTAGTCTAAAACTGTTTACCTGAAATGAATCAATATGTTAGGATGCCTACTTAACATGACAGTTTATTTAACAATCAGAGTGAAACTAAATTTATAAGTGTTCTTTCTATTTTATTTAGATTATCAATTTATTTGTTGCTGTAATTATGGATAATTTTGATTATCTAACTCGTGATTGGTCAATATTGGGCCTCATCATTTAGACGAATTTATACGTTTATGGTCAGAATATGATCCTGAAGCGAAGTAAGCGAATATTAAGCTACTTATTACTTACCATTATGTTGATGATTTCTTCTAAAATAATTATAACAGTACCCTTATTATGGTTATTTCTTTGATTGTGGCTAGCAGAAGAATCTGGAATGCGCGTCTTGTCCTATTTTGGAGTCACTGGTCAGATAGATGAACCTCCATCCCCGTGAGTGATATCGCTCCCATTGAGACTCGAACTTCGTAACCATCTCTTCGAACGTCAAGACATTATCCACTATGCCACGAAGATACGACAGCCACTTCTTGTACAACGGGTATTAGTTATTACTACTTATTGATATACTTGTAGTTCTCCGTTGTTTTGTTGGATTGAAATGTTCCACCTCTATGTCATATGGGCTTATATGCGGATGCCTCGATATTGCCTAAATGTTAATTATAGTAATTTATTTGGATTCTTGTCCTAGATTCTTTTGCTAGACACAACCAAAAAAATTACTATAATTAATATTCAGGTAATATCGAGGCATCCGCATAGGAGCCCATATGCCAAAAGAGGTCAAACAATTCGATCCAATAAAACAAAAGAGAGTAACAAGTATGTCAATAAATATTAATAACTAGTACCCGCTGTACAACAGGTGGCTTTAGTGCTTCCATGGCCTGGTGGATAACACTTTGGCGTTTGAAACGGTGGGTATGAGGTTTGAGTCTGAGTGGCGAGGTGTAGGCGCATCCATCTGATGAGTCCCAAATACGATGAAAGACACGTCGTGGATTCATCTGCTAGCCACAACTAACTAAATCACCCAACCAGTGTTTTCAATTCACTCAATATACGCTATGGGCATCTCAGAATTTCATAGTTAGTTCTTGTGAATTCAAAGATTTAGATATAGCCTAACTTTTTATGGAATGAAATTGTTTATCTACTGAACTCATCAAGATATATTTGTTTGCTGTTTTAGTGCACATTATTTAAGAGAGTTTAACTAACCCGAATGAGCATCAGTATTTATTTATGGTTTCTACTTGCGCTGTCACTGACAGAAGTTTGGAAGAGCTCGTCTAATATCTATCTAGTCTGCTCCACGTATATATATATATATATATATATATATATATAGGCAAAAAATATAAATAATCGTAGCATAATACTATGAGGTTTCAATAGTAAACTGGAAATAATGCTTATGATCGTAGGAAGGTAAACCATTCGGTTAAAAAAAGACAATAATTATTGAAAATGGATTACCACTACGCTTCATAGACAAACACATCAACGTAAACCTTGCAAAGAGAAACTTACCATCGTGCCAAAAAACACACTCTTTATGAATCTGAACTTCAAAGGTCATTCTACCGCTGACACCTTAAAAAGCAGGATATTAAACACTATAAGGAGAACATTCTTTGCATCAACACTGAGACTAGTATTCTCTTGTCACCCAACGATTTCTAACAACTCAAAAGAGAAACTCTCACATCTGACCACTTCTATGTGAATATATCAATTCACCTGCCATAGTGAAGCCAGGTATGTAGGTCGTTCGACGTGACTGTTATCCAAAAGAGTTTAAGAACACTATCCTGAATGGTTACAAAGAGGTAACAATGGAGCAATAAAGAGTGCTATAATTGAACACATCGTGAACACAAATCACCCTATCCCAATAACCTCCTTGTTCAAAGTCTTCTACAGAGTGAAAAGAAACCTTCCAGAGGTTGTATATCTTCGTATTCTCTGCATCGTCGAAGCTCTTACCATTCAAATGGAGAAGCCTGAGGTATGAAGGCAAAGGAGATTGTTCAACCCATTCTCCTTTCATCGTCTTAGTTTTTAGTCTTCTCTACTCCCTCTCTCCTGTTTTCCTTTTTCTGTTTCGACACCATTCACTTCTTAGTTAATTCGCTACTCATTCTTGTTGCTATGTTCTGCCTGATCATAATTCAGTTTCCAAACTTCTTGTTCAATCTTATTTTGATTAATATTCACTACTCATCAGTTTTCTGATTGTTTTTTTGATTTTAATGGCAGTACATATGATTGACATTATTTTTGTTGCCATACTTGACAAACCACTTTTAACTATCGAATTCTTAGACTAGAAACAAATATGTATAAATTTGCGATTTTGTAGAGCTTTGAAAATGAAAATCGTCAAAAAGAGACTCTTTACTGAAATGCTTACTTGTTCTCCCTCCTATGATTATTGAGCAAGAGTCTGATGAATATTCAGGCAATGAATAAAGTCAGATCATGACAAAAAAGAGACTCGATGTTATGCACAGTTCGAGATTCTAGTGTTTGATCACTAACATCTTTGTTACACATAAGTGAATAATCCGCAGCTTTACTAAGCCATTATGTATAACGAGAGCTGAATAAATGGTCTAGAATGGAGCTGTTCATTGACTTACATTTTATCCTAGACATTTAGGCAGTACGCAGCTCGAAAATGAGTTCGAAAAGACTGAACTTTATATGGCCTAAACTGACGGACGATTGAACAACAGTAAGTAACTGACTCTTTAAAGGTAACCGTTATGCTGAAGTACTTATCGAAGATTTCTATTCCCTTTATCAGTTGCATCATCTATCTGTACAAATTCTTCTAACTATCGTGTAAAGTGAATGAATTTCGGGTTCCTTTGCTAACTTATTGATGCCTAAATTTGAGCAGTATACTAATTTCTCCCTGGCAAACCATTTCAAGCTAATGCCCAGTATAAAATTGAATCTTGGTCTCAGGATTAATAAATTTAGCCTAAAGACAAAAATATCTGTATGAAAGGAACTCAGATGATGTGACATCATCATAGAATGTACCATTAGATAAGCGAAACCTCAATAAGCTTGAATTATCAATAATTATATAGTAAAATGATTTTTTTTCTTCTGAAAAAGTTAATGATATTTACGTATGATGTCAACGCGCTTCGCTTGTACTGATACCTTTTACAAATCACTTCTCTTTTCAGAGGTAGAATCAAACATCTAGACGTTGTTACACTTCTGCGTAAAATATCACCTCCATTAGGATTTGGAAAATTATGTCCTCATCGGACTGCTTGTGTAGTAAGTCATATAAAAGATCCACGTAGTTTATTTAATCATATTACTACTACTACTAACCAACATCATATCAACCGTCCTCATGATAAATAACGTTTTCTTTCATAATGTATACGTATAACTCAGTTGAAGAAGGAAGTTTTTACTTATAAATAATCATATGAACCAGTTGCTTATTGTCGATCGACTAGTTTAGTAGCCCAGCCTAACCCTAGATAAAGAGAGGAGGTTCAGCATAGAGCTAGAGACCCTCCTCCGTAAAACCAATCCAATCATTAAACAAAATTCAAAGGGCAGAGAAAATCTTACCGATGATCTTCCTGATTGCCATCGACTCATCTGAAGTGGTTCATGCAACAAACTGTCAGGAATAAGAAGAGGAGCATACACTGTTTCACCAATGAAAATATCCCAGAAGAAGATTTGCATTTCACCAATGATGATTTGTGTCTAATATCCAACGTCGCACAAACTCGAAGATCTACAGGCGAAAACCAACAAGTTGGCAGAAGAAGCGAGGTAGCGAAGGGAGACGAGACTTCGTTGAGTTGAACCTCGAGGGGACACAGGCGAAGAAGATACGCAACCAACAAAAACAACCACCACCGCCACAACAACAACAACAAGCACCAATCACCATGAACGGGAGAAATCTAAACGAAGTTGTCTCTTCCACCCACCCATCCACCTACCCACCTGCGTTGGCAGCATCCTCTCAACTACAGGCAGTACATATGAGGATGTCGAAGCCAGAATCAAAAAGACAGCAAGATAAGCCTTCGATATTCTGCGATCAGTGTGGACATCTACTGCGCTGCTCTGTAATGCACTGCACTTCACTTCACTGCACTGCACTCAGCTGAAAGTGTGAACAACATCCGCATTTTCAACACCAATATCAGTCAAGTACAAGTCAGTGCTTCTATGTGATGCTTGAGAGACTTGGTGTGTTACGGAAAGCATTTCCAACAAACTGCACACATGAATCACATCGACAACTGCCATCTACGCTCACTCGACACTGAAGATGGAGATCAGATGGATGGCCAGAATAATAAGAATAAGCAACAAGGAACTCACTGTGGTTGTCTGTCAACGACCCAACCGAGCCAGAAGCCACTGCTCAACAAATATAGAAAAGAAGAAAGTAGAGATGGATTTGGTTGGATTGAACATAGACTGAGAAGACCGTTTTGGACATCTTGGATCAGATGAGGTCAGGTCCGACCGTTGAGTGGAATGCGCATAAGAAACGACTAGTTGGGCGTTGGAGGTGAAGGTGGTATGGAGGAGATGATGTGAGGAAGAAACGAAAGCTTATGGAGAGTTGTGAGACCGAGTTGAAAAGACTGTAGAGAGGTGAAGAATGAAATGGTGATATGGTACTGAATCCCTATGTTCTACTAGGAACCCTAAGGTCAAATAATAAGGATAAATAATGGAGAGTTTTCTTATTGAAACTTAGGTAAGTTATTATTTGTTTAAATGATGTTTAATACCGTCCAATATTCCATTGTTTTAGGTGAATTCCACTCTTCTTTCTCTCATGAACTGTGACTACCTGAATCCATATTGAAGTTTGAACTCAACACCTATACATTCAAACATCTAAACATTATTCAATGAGTTAATGATTTTGAAGTGGTCTAATCTTATTGAATGAATCTACTTTAACTTTAAAATACTTTCTAGTTGAATCTCTGAAAAAATTTCTCTACAAAAATGATGGAAATGGTACATATCATAATCAAATGAAGTTACATCATTCATTGAAACTGTATAAAAATCTTTTTTGTCATAGAATAATTAAATCCTATGCATGAGATAAAAAGTAAGCCACTGATTGAAACGATACTAACATATTGAATTTGAATGTGAATAGTAAGAGAGAATGATTAATAAGTGAGTTCATATTCATATATGCTATACCGAATACATGCAACACATCTCACAAGATATTGTATTGGATAAATAAATTAACAACAAACTAGGAAACTTATAGAAGTAAGGTCTTGGATCCTGAGTTCGATTTCCGAAGGGTGGTGTCTTGGGTGCATATTGTTGGGGAGTTTCATGCTAGGATGAAATATCTGCCGAGTGCTCTTAAATTTGTAATATTTCTCTAAATTATGTCAGTTTATAGTGAATACCAACTATTTGGTGTAATAACGGGCAATAATTTTACTCGAAATACTACTAAATCTCCAATAACAAAAAATCTAATCATTGTAAGCAAAACTCCCTTACAACTTATTTCTTAGTAAATGCAGACCTAATTATTGAGTGGTATCAATCTTTTATGATCTTCCTGATTGGGATGGACTGGATCATGTAGCAAACAGTGAGGAGCGAGAAGAGTAGTATACGCTGGACCCTGGGGAAAGATCCTAGAGAATTTGAATTTCACCAGTGATGACTTGTGTCTAATATAGCACAAACTCGAAGATCGACAGACAAAAACTGACAACTTGATAGAGGAGGCAGCGAGGACGGGACTTGCTTCAAGTGGTGAACGTAGAAAAGACGGAGGTGATGATAACACCCAACCAACAAAAACAACAAGCTCCAATCACCATCAACGGAAGAAACTTAAAGGAAGTAGCCTCTTTCACCCACCCTACTAGGCAGCATCGTTTCAACTAAAGGTGGCGGCACAGGCACAGACAACGATATCAAAACCAGTCAGGATCGGAAGGACATCAAGACAAGACAGGCCTTCCTTCATCAACCTGAAATCAGTGTGGAGGTCTTCTGCACTGCACTCAGGAGAAAGCGTGAACAATATCCACATTTTCAACACCAATCCAGTCAAGTAAGTCAGTGCTTGTATGTGATGATTGAGAGACTTGGCGTCTTACGAAAATGCATTTCCAACAAACTACAGATATTTATCAACAGCTGGTGCCTACGCTGGCTCGATACTGACACTAAGTGCAGATGGCCAGAATAGAAGGATGAGCAACAAGGAACTCACTCTGGCTGGCTGGCAACGAACCAACAAGCAAGAACCTATCGCTCATCAAATACGCCTGAGGGAGATGGAGATGGATTGGGCATGCACTGAGAAGACCGATTGGGGACATCATGCACCAGGCACTCGAGTGAAACTTAAATTGGAAACGACTAGTTGGGCATGGGAGGCGAAGGTGATATGGGGGAGATGATGTGAGGAAGAAATGAGAGTTTGTAGGCAGTCGTGGAGCCAGGTTAAGAAGACTGCAGAAAAGTGGAGAGTGTAATGGAGACGTGCTACTGAAGGTGTATGTTCCACTAAGAACTCAAGGGACAAATAATAATCAATGTTTCAAATTATTTTATCTGATACTTTTTAAAAAGTTAACAGTGTTTTGCTCTAATTTTTCTTTAATGCAAAGTTTTAATTTATAAATAAGGAGTGAGGAAAACAACAAGAGTCGGAGAACGTATTTAAGGTTAGGTATTTGTGTAGACTGATAGGTGAATGAAGATCATTTGTTGATTATATTAAAAATTTCAGTACTTTTAACCTTGAATCGGCCTGTATTCACTGGCCGTTTCTACTATATACCAAAATTTGCTATTAGCGTGAAAGTATCTTCGCTTTCATAACTGTTATCCCACATTGATAGACTAGTTTGTTAGTGGTGATTTGTGTTTATTATTATTATTATTATTTGTCTCTCAGGTTTCCAGTAGAACATAGGGATTCAGTAGCATGTCACCATTTCACTCTCCAGTTCTCTGTAGTCTTTTTAACCTGGCTGCACGACTGCCCATAACCTTTCATTTCTTCCTCACACCATCTCCTTTATATCACCCTTGGATGGCCAACTCGTCGTTTCCCACATGAGTTCCACTTGATGGCCTGGCCTGACGCATGATGTCCCCAAACGGGGTGATTTGTATGGAAACTGTAAATTCTGCAAAAATATTGAGATTATCCTCAAGTTCAGTCAAGCAAAATCAAATCTTCTAAAAATTAGTGAATAACTTGTTTAATTATATCATCTAAAGTCTGTAGCTACTTACTTTAGTTATTTCATAAACCACAACTAAAAATCCTATGTTCCCTATCTCTCCCCTTTTGACTTAGACTAATAGTCTAAGACCTCATAGATTGGTAGTATCTCTTGACCTTATAGCCATAAGCTTTTTCTCCAACTCATTTACGCTTTCAAAAATATGGTGCATCACAACAGATATTAATTCTACAAGTGTAACACTTGTGTGCCAATATAATAACTGCAATTTGATAACATTATCAACTCATTTACTTCACTGATATCATATTTTGTGCCTAACTTCTAAATGGATAGCACAGTTAATTTCTCAAACTCTAGCAATGTTTCAAATATGAAGTTCATCTCAAAAAAAAGTAAGTCATTGGTTAGTTGAATATAGAAAAGGTTATGGAACGTTGCTGATCTACAAATGGTGATATTAAAAGATACTAGTAAATAACTCCGTCAACATATTCAGTTATAATAAATTATTAACGTGATCACATGAAATATTATAAATGAAATGATAGAAAAATTTTATAACTAAGAATGAGGATGATGACGAGTTGATATCCTTTCATCGTTGCCACTTTATATTTTCTGTTTCACCAACCAGTTTGTTAAGAGCCTTAGCGATAATTTCATTAACTAGTCTTTTCTGAAGTTACGGCTGAGTACACCACCAAGACTAATGCTGTAAATCGTAAACATACTGCACACTTTCTGTAAATTCATCAGTTTACCATATATTTATTAAACTTTATCAGGAGATAGAAACCAAATAGTTTTTATCTAACGAATGACTTCACTGCTTCGAAATATACAAAAATGCTCAACAGGAATGTTCAGGATTGGCAAGCTTATGCAAATTGAACTGATAGACTACAACCTAACGACACTGGTAATACTTCTGGACTCAGCATTACTTGTAGTTCTAGGTATGTAATACCAAAGAGTCATAGACTAGAAGATAGAAAGATATATATTTGCTACTTGACTAGTTTAGCATAAATGTGATAGCAGATGCTTTATCTGCTAGTCATTAAGAGATGTTAATCGTAGATTTAAGGTATCCTGTCGATTATTGGTAGACATCGGATTTTCAACACACATGTCAAGTCAGTGCTGCTATGTGATGGTTGAGAGACTTGGCACGTCACGAAAAGCATTTCCAACAAACTACAGATATTCATCAACAACCGTCTACGCTCACTCGTTACTGAAGTTCATATGGCCAGAATAATAAGAATAAGCAACAAGAAACTGTGGCCTGGCAACGGACCAACCAAGAACCTATTGCGACACAAATATGCCTGTGGAAGTGGAGATGGATTGGGCATGCACTGAGATCATTCGCAGACATTATGCTCCAGGCACTTGAGTGAAACCCAGATGGTAAACGGCGAGTTGGGCGTCCGAGATGAGGGAGACATGGAGGAGATCGTGTGAGGAAGAATTGAGAGGTTGTGGGGAGTCATAGAGCCAGGTTGAAAAGATTGCAGAAAAGTGGAGAGTGTAATGGAGACGTGCTACTGAAGGTGTATGTTCTACTAGGAACTCAAGGGAGAAATAAAAATAATAATTGGTAGACATCTAAAACGAAATACACTGAAACATGAAGCATTTATTGCCTTGACTTAGCAGCTACATCATATAAATCAGTCGGGGAATTTTGGTCAGTCATCGAGACTATTGTAGTCATTGTTTATAATTATGAACAATTATTACTATTGTTATTATTATTGTGATCAACCGTTTAATTTTTCATATAAATCTCCTAAAAGCTTTAAAACACTTCCATTTTTATGCCTTGCCTTCTCTTGTTACTGTTTTCTTTTTTTGATCAATACTCACTCTAGACGTTAGTACGAATGAATATGCCCTTGAACAGTGATGGAACAGTAATGTTCAATGCAACACTGTTTGCATTAGTTCGAACCAACTTGAAGATAAAAACTGAAGGTAAATGTCTAGTACCCCATTATAATTGCATTATAAAATACTGCGGATTATTAGATTATTACAAAACAAGTAACTTTGAAGTTATGCTATGAAACTTAAAAAAACTTTTCCGAATGATTTGTGTGTGTAATTTAGTTTACTTATATACCTTCGACTTGAAGACAGAAGTAAGACAAGGTTGTTGCTCACTATCACCGATGATCTTCCTGATTGCCATCAACTCATCTGAAGTGGTTCATGCAACAAACTGTCAGGAATAAGAAGAGGGGCATACACTGTTTCACCAATGAAAATGTCCCAGAAGATTTGCATTTCACCAATGATGATTTGTGTCTAATACCTAACGTCGCACAAACTCGAAAATCTACAGGCGAAAACCAACAAGTTGGCAGAAGAAGCGAGGTAACGAAGGAAGACGAGACTTCGTTGAGTTGAACCTCGAGGAGACACAGGTGACGAAGATACGCAACCAACAAAAACAACCACCACCACCACAACAACAACAACAAGCACCAATCACCATGAACGGGAGAAATCTAAACGAAGTTGTCTCTTCCACCCACCCATCCACCTACCCACCTGCGTTGGCAGCATCCTCTCAACTACAGGCAGTACATATGAGGATGTCGAAGCCAGAATCAAAAAGACAGCAAGATAGGCCTTCGATATTCTGCGATGAGTGTGGACATCTACTGTGCTGCTCTGTAATGCACTGCACTGCACTCAGCTGAAAGTGTGAACAACATCCGCATTTTCAACACCAATATCAGTCAAGTACAAGTCAGTGCTTCTATGTGATGCTTGAGAGACTTGGTGTGTTACGGAAAGCATTTCCAACAAACTGTACACATGCATGACATCGACAACTGCCATCTACGCTCACTCGGTTCTGAAGATGGAGATCAGATGGATGGCCAGAATAATAAGAATAAGCAACAAGGAACTCACTGTGGTTGTCTGTCAACTACCCAATAGAGCCAGAAGCTACTGCCCAACAAATATAGAAAAGAAGAAAGTAGAGATGGATTTGGTTGGATTGAACATAGACTGAGAAGACCGTTTTGGACATCTTGGATCAGATGAGGTCAGGTCCGACCGTTGAGTGGAATGCGCATAAGAAACGACTAGTTGGGCGTTGGAGGTGAAGGTGGTATGGAGGAGATGATGTGAGGAAGGAACGAGAGGTTATGGAGAGTTGTGAGACTGAGTTGAAAAGACTGTAGAGAAGTGAAGAGTGAAGTGGTCACATTCCACTAGGAACCGAAGGGATGGATAATAGCATAATAATAATTTATTTTATTCATTTTTGAAAGGGTACTTTTATCCGATAAACATCCTTCGTCATGATAAAAATCTGTAAATGATTTATAAACCGCTTGATAATGGTTAGTTTGAGGCAATCAGGTGAAAGATCTTGGACTCAGTTATATTGCAGATTGGCCTTTATCATTTGCATATATCTAGCACCTTAAGAGATCTGTTGTCTTCTGAGAGATTCTAACCTATGTTACCGTGTGCTGTAGCCGGACTACCGGGTTGTTTCTTACCTCGTACATGATAGGGCTACATACGTTGATTAGTCACTGAAGGATAACTAAGCATGAAGCTTGAAACATGTAGGACTCCCAGTCAGTTAACATCGAGCTCAGCAGAGCTGAGTTCTGTGGCCAACCAATTAACCTGGTGACCACGTCATAAAGCCATTAGAAGAATGTGGTCAGCACTTAGGACTAGTTGACTTGATTAGCTGATTTTTCTGCTGTAAAAAGGTCATGTGCAGAATATTTCTTTCAGAAAAAAAATTTCTACTGATAAATACTCAAATTTTTGTTGAGTGATGTAATGAAGATTCAGTACTACTCAATACAAGACTGATTTCTTCCGTTGATGATATTCAATACAACGAGAAAAAGAGACGAAAGAAAATTATTTGATGTCTATCCTAAAGGATGACGACTAACCACGAAACTTGATCATCAACTACAGAGTCATCGACAGAAATCAACAAACGCATCATCCTACCATTCACAAAGAATATATCAGAGATCATGACAAGATTACAGAAACCACTTGGAACTGGTGTGGCTCATAAACCAGTCAATCCCTTCAAACCATATTGTGGAGACCAAATGATGCAACAACCAACGAAGACAAACTGGATATCGTTTACAAAATCAACTGCAGTGACTGTAGTCAACACTACATTCGACAAAGTGGTGCGTCTCTTCGCCTTCGTCTACATCAACACCAATTGCTTAGTAAACTTCACGACATTTCATCACTCATCTCAGTGCACGTGGACAATGATGAACATGAATTCATTTTTGACAAAGTAGAAATCTTGGATGGAGAGAGGAGACAAACAATATCAGAGAATTCCTAGAATCTTGGCATTCAGATCAGATGTATGGACATAGACCCAAGGTACCAACTAACAAGAAGAACAGTAAATAACAGGAAGGTCAGAGGTCAAGCCGAGCAACAACCAACCGGAAAATCTGTACAGTAAATGATACAACAATGAAAGGAAACAACCAATCAAAAACCATTTTTTCAGGGCAAGCTACTAAACCACTCACAGAGAGATATTGACTGCTGACTACTTCATACTGAAGTTAGTCATGATGATGATGTCGTCCAGAAAGACGATGAAAGCTTCATGATTAAGCTTTCAAGCTCAGAGATTACAACACAACCATGATATTCAGTTCGCTTGTTGTGAGTTTCAGACTTAATGGACATGAGTGCAAAAAACCACCTGCATTATCAAGCCATTCTGTAACTACACTGTAATTTCTTATCACAGTGATTATTATTCTATTCTTATGATTAATTAAGGTGCTGCAATCGATCAACTAAATGAAGAACTTCGTGCTGTTATCAAAAAAATCTGGAAAAGAACAAGTAACAAACTTTTAGATCAGCTTGTTCCTCCTGCAGGTGGTGAGTTAAATTTTCATTGTATTTGTTGTGTCACTTGAAATGTTTTCTTCTTTCTGAGAAATAACATATCAGTAGTCGATTTCTGTTAGACTGGTGTGTTGATAAAGACGCGATTTGTGGATTACGCCTTAAACTTTGAGAAAAATCTATAAATTATGATTGTTTTCACCAATAAAATACTGAGATCTACAGAAACTGTATAGTTCTTTTTCATCTGGACAGGTAGAGAAATATTTATCCAGGATTCGAATCCTCTCCCCCCCCCCAATGAAATGGAATATTGAACTGGTGGATTCAAAGTCAAGTAAATGATTTCTATCTCAATGGTGTAGATTTTCATGATCAACCTACTGTTAGTATATATCATGATTTATTACCTTGAGTAGCTGCTAAAGCTTGTTGAAACCATTTGTATGAAGTAGGGTTTCGCATCTGGATAAAAGACTAACTCCAAGATAATTGTATGTCTTCTAAAAAAGAAGAAAATGACTGTTTTTGAAGAAAAACATTTCGAATGTGTTAGTTAGTTGGTTACTGAATTACTCACTCAATTAATACTGTTTGAATAAATTAATGTAAAGAGTGATGAAATTTGTAAACATTATGATTGACATATTACTTGGGTGATTTCAATTGAAAATGTTGGCGATGTCATCTTATGAAAGATTTCAATTTCTAATTGTTTGTGGCTTTATAAAAGCTACTTTTTCAAATTAAGTTGTTATATTCATCTCATCTATCTTAATTTTCAATACTCATTGGTGACTACCTTCGAGAGGTATTCCTGAAGTTCCGAAGAGAAGTCGTAACTGGTGGTGGCAAAGCCTGATTGTCGCGAGGACAGTTACTCAACGATGTTATTGGGTGGCGGTTGCGCTGTATTGTGAGCTGACAGAAGTCGGAAATATGGACCATTGGCTCAGTGGTAACGGGCTGGCCACAGAACCTAAAGGTCGCGGGTTCCATCTCTGGAGGGCGGGGTCGTGTGTTCGCACTTCTAAGGAGTCCCATACTAGGACGAAACAGCTGTCCAGTGCTCTCAGGTTTCCTTTCTTCCTCCAACTGATGTCAGTCCACGATGAATAACAATTTGAAATATTTCTAAATCCCCACAACTCCCTTAAAATTCAACTAAATTTGTGCATAGTTTTGATTGAATGTGATTGTAATGAACAAGTAGGTGAAGACCACGTATTCATATGATATCCGATTCAAGTTGAGTTAAGAGCTGAGTCCTCCAATTCAGTTAGTTGAGTATCAGATTCGTTAGCTGAAGACCACTGGCTTAAATTCTACCACGAATCAATTATAATTTCACATTCAATCATTACTCAGTACCATTCTCAAATATATGTGTACATATTTTGACAGAATTACAATAGACAATACCTACTGTTCAATATAAAGACAATAATTCATAGATTAATTTCCAGTGGGACATAATCTTATCAAATTGCTAATCACTTAGTGAATAATGAAAGGAAAACGTTGCTTAGAAGAGTCGTATTAACTCTGAGCTGCTTATTATTATTTTTCCCCCTTGGGTTCCTAGTGGAACATAGGGCTTCAGTGGCACGCCTCCATTGCACTCTGCACTTCTCTGTAGTCTTTTCAACCTGGCTCCACCACTGCCCACAAGCTTTGATATCTGCCTCACATAATCGTCTCCATGTCACCCTCGGACACCATCGTCCAACTCGTCGTTTCTCCTTTGGATTCCACTCGAGGGACTGGTGCATGGTGTCTCTAATCGGTCTTCTCAATGAATGCCCAATCCATCTCCACTTTCTTCTGCATGTTTGTTGGGCGATATGTTCTTGGTTGGTTCGTTCTCAGAATTCCTTGTTGCTTATTCTTTCTGGCAATCTGAGCTTCAATATCGAGCCAGCGTAGGCGGTTGTTGATGAATATCTGTAGTTTGTTGGAAATGCTTTCCGTGACACGTCAAGTTTCTGAACCGTATAGCAGCACTGAATTGACTGGATTGGTGTTAAAAATTCGGACGTTGTTCACACTTTCTGCTGAGTGCAGTAGATCCGCACATTAATTTCAGCTTATTGAAGGAAGGCTTGTCTTACTGTCTTTCCGATCCCGGTTTTGACGTCCTCGTCTGTGCCGCCTGTAGTTGAAACGATACTGCCTAGGTGGCAGGTGAAAGAGACTACTCCCTTCAGGTTTCTCCTGTTGATGTTGATTGGTGCTTGTTGTTCAGTGTGGTTTTCCTCATCCTTTGATATTATTTGAAAAATCATTAAAAATCTGTGGGCGATAGACAATTGCTTTGTCGTAACTTGAGACTTCTCAGCAGTGAATGACCCCACCAGAAGTTTAGCATATAAACATAAGGTCTCATGAAGAGAATTCTACCGGCCAAGCAATAAACTGAAATTGATCGATGTAAATTTTAATAATTCTACCGTTTCGCGATGTAGTATGACCATCATTGACTGCCATCAATTAGTGTTTTTCCTCACACCCAATTAGACTGACTCTTTAGATCATGGATTTTTAATAGTACTGTGGGAAATCCATCTCAGTATGATTTTTATGTATGATTGTAGGTAGTCACCAGTATACATTTATATACACTTAAAGGTGAAATAGTCTACAGAAAGTTTAAAAATATAAAGATTTCTTTTGAGATCCACCTTGTGCATATCCGTGCAGTAGACAGTTGTTTGAGGGCTACTGATACCATCTTGCTGCCTGGACCTCGGTAAATGTAGTAGTGTTCGAACCCGTGATAAGCTGGTTAAAAATCATCTCCTCAAATCAATGAGCAACAATTACACATTCAAAGTGAAATTGCTTTTACTTCAGCTGGATACTTTCTCATAATCAGGACAAGAAAACTTTATTTGTTAGATATTTGACACAGTGAGTCAGTATTATTTATTGCATTCAGTTGCACATGGAGAGACACCATTCCTTGAATTCAAAATAAGAGGAAATACTCATCATGGTGGTTGGTGTCAGCCCCCTATGCATCATTATAATTGAATATCGCCTGTCATATTTAGTCTCGAATAACTCATGCTTTTACCACTGTGTGAAATATCCAACAGACAAACTAACATGGTATTATATACTAGTGCACTCCCCTAGTCATACTACTACACTTGTTAAACTTTAGTTGTCAATATCTAACTGACATCCAGTTACATACTTAGAATAGCAGTCGGAGCAACTGTTATACTACCTTCTCATTTGGAAATAAACGTTACATCCTTTCAACTAACGCGCTTGTATTCTCATATGTAACAAAATGTTTGTATATCTGCTTTCTGTGTGCATATTTATAATCGCCTATATGCCTCTGTGCTTCCTTAACTCCTTTACTTATGAGGTAGAGTAATTTCAAGTAACCAATAGGAGAAGTACGCCTACCATTTAAGTATTATCCTTTTCTATCTAGGTCTGATAATAAGACTAATATAGTGAATACTAAAAGATTAAACGATAAAAGTAATAAAACCGCACTGCTTCAACCTTTCCCTGTATGTATGTGTATGTGTGAATATGTTGTTGAGTATTTGTGCTATCGATGATGTTGCTGTCATAGCTAACCACTGCTATTGCTATTTGAGCTTCAATTGTCTATCTGCTGTGCTTACATACTTGTTGATCATTTGAAAGCAGCTACTTTTATACTATAATGTGTATATATATAGCGTGATTGTTATTCACTTATCTGCTTACACAGAAATCATCTTCAAAGCGTGTAATGATTGATATGTATTTATGTATACTTGGTGATGATTGAAGGTGAGAGGAAAATCTGGACCGCAACCAGGTTCGAACCAGTAACCACCAGGTTTCCGGCCTGGTGCTCTACCAACTGAGCTACCAGGTCTGACTCCTGATCAGAATTTTATTTCACTTCAACCACCAAGGGGTTCACCCGACTACCATGTGAATTCGTGACGCGTTACTACCGCTTGATTGCATTCACACTGGCTCTCAATCCAAATCTAACTGAATTAGAGGAGAGGGGCAGCATCTTACTGATTATCATTTGACTATCTGAATCGGAGATAGCCGTAATTTGATAGTGGGACGATACTCTTGATGACTGAACTGAAATAAAATTTTGATCAGAAGTCGAACCTCGTAGATCAGTTAGTAGAGGATTGGACCGATAACCCGATGGGCACTGGTTCGAACCTGGTCGCGGTTTATATTTTTATCTCACCTTCAATCATCATCTAGTATATACTTATGTGTATAAGTTGTTGCCTAACTAACTAACTAATGTGTATTACATATACCTGTATATATATGTATATATTTGTTCTTCAATTCATCCTTTTTAGTGTTTATTGAACTTTCATTATTATCCATCAGGAAGTTGAAAAGATATGCAAAATAAAAGCATTTTTTTATTGTTTGTTTTAATCCAAAGAATATATATATGTGTGTGTATGAATGTATATTCGTTCCCGCAGTATTTCCCTTCATACAAACTTTCATATTCAACAACATGCATGATTATATGCCCTATCTATTAGTTGATTTATGCATATTTATATCACCTGTATATTTATATACGTAGATGGTAAATTGTTCATGTTAACCCACTGTATCACCTATTATATCCTCTTACGACTGGATATCTTTCATTTTAATAATATATATGTATATGTATATATGTAGAGTATACTGTTCATTGTTGACATAGTGGTATCTCTTTCACTATTCTTTTATCGGTTGATAATGCATACAAAATGAATTCTTTCCATGGTTTAACTAAACTACTTGTTTTTGTTCAATTTTAGCACCATTCATAAATTTATGCAATTATATACAAACATATAGATGACTGAGAGTGTATAAAGTTCCCCGTAGATGCCAGACTGATGTTAATGTATGCAGAGGTGATAAGTGAAGTTAAGAAAGTGTTGAAATCAAAGCATTTCTTTTTTCTGCTAAATACACCTCCTCACCAGTCAATCAACTTCACCTTAGATACTGACGATTTATGTAACTTAAAATGATTCAGC